ATGGTAATAGAACCTCAGATCGGGTTAAGGACTGCAAGGCCTTTTCGTGGTAAGGATGACCATGCTCTTGGGCATGGTTGTGTCAACCTCGATAAACTATCTGGGGGAAACTAAGGTTAGATTAGGGGCTCCCGGGTGTTATTTAAAATGAGATTATGTCCCTGTCACACGCAGTTTGACGCTGTCAATGTTGACGTTGCTTTAGGGAAGCGCATGTTTTTAAGGGTAGACATCGTGAGATGTAGGATGCTTTAGTTTATTGGTATTGATATTAAAATGTAGGGGGCATTAGGATATTCTGGTTAGCACATTGCCTCTAGCATATTGTGTCTTTAGTTACTTGTGTCCTTAATTGTGAGTATCCTCAGTTGCGTGTATCCTTAATTGCGAGTATCCTCAGTTGCGTTTACTCTCAGTACCGGGAACCATTTGACCTGTATTCTGCGTTCGTGTTATAACTTGTTTATGAGTTAGCTATTCCATTAGTTAAGTTTTGTTTTGTTGTCTTTAGTTAATAAATATTTGTTATCCAACTTTCATTTCTCCCTTGTTGAGGATCGGTGGCAGTTTTGGGTTAATTTCCGAATCTACTTGGAGTCGTCTCTACTTGAACCTTAGGCACGTGGCCTTTTTTGCGCCACTCAAATTTATCAGTAATATAGCCAATAATAATCGGGCTAGTGGCCTCGTGTACAGGCTTACTGCCTGCTTCAGCGGCCAATAGCTAGCAGCGGCCAGTAGCTGCCCGTTGTGAGCCTACTTTCATCTAATACGTTTTCAAGAAGCAGACATCAACGAGTTTAACGGTTATGCTTCTGGTAAAAAGTCTTTGATGTACAATTGAATGCCAAACGAATAATGTGAACGAGGCGAACAAGTGCGTTCGCTATTTGAAAGAGACCAACTACTCTCCTGCAATATACTGGCTACAGCTGGTGGCGCCAGAGACCTTCTTAAATGCTCTGCTGGGGTTTAAACTCCAGCTGCAGTTTACTGACATCATAACTCAAGATTCATCCATTCAATATTCTTATACAGGATTTGACAATTAAAATATAATTAATCCTCATCCCCATTGCAGGTGTTCTCAAGTTCATTCAAATCAGAATCTTTCTTTTGAGCTGCTCCATGTTCAGTAGCTTTATAACCTCAACAGTGCTGACACGAAGCAAGTATCTACACATGACAGTATGTACACATGACTACACATGACTGAAAAAACTAACCGTAACTTTACCTCACTGGTATGTGAGAGTAACCGATAGGTAGCAAAGCCCAGGGAAAATTATTATGTTGAGTAACCCGCACCTTATCATGTAGATTATACATGCACGGAGAAACTTAAAATCAAGTCGTGGACCATATCTCGATCTGTGTCACTTGGCACTTGCCGGGAGGACGATTTGAAATAATTTAATCGATTTTGATTTGTGCGAGGCTAAAAATAACATATGTATATCGTCCGGTGTATTATTAGTATCATATACCTTGATCTGCATGTTTTGTTACAAGGCTAAGTATCATACATAGAAGATTACAAAAATAATTTATCCCTTCAGTGATATGATGAAATTTATTGCATGATATTTTTTACGCAAGTTTTTTTCACTACTTGCGTCTTTTCATTTACAGTGAACTGCATGATTTTAGTTCATCCACAACAGATATGCATGTTTTGTTACAAGGCTAAGTATCATACATAGAAGATTACAAAAATAATTTATCCCTTCAGTGATATGATTAAATTTATTGCATGATATTTTTTACGCAAGTTTTTTTCACTACTTGCGTCTTGTCATTCACAGTAAACTGCATGATGTTCATCCACAGCTTGCGTGAAGTTTCAGTTGACTGTGTTTTTCAATTTGATTTAGCGAACTAACATTTTCAATCAAGAGTAGGGCAGAGTAGGTCGTGAGGCACACGACGACAATGAATTAAGTTAATGACGTGATGAGGACTGACGTTCATTGAAAAAGCGCCCTTGATTTTTAGCTGGCAATTTCATAAATGAGAAATCGTTTTGGATATTTCTATATGCGTCAAATGCCGGCTCAGTTATAATTGCACCTGCTCCACC